ATATTCACTTCACCTTAATCATCAGATCTCCATGACGTGTAGAAGGTAAAATTTATTAAAATCCGCAAGCAGCAAAATAAGATCAATCATTTCTGTGATCGCCTGGTCAGCGGTCTGCATTGGACTATTACGTAGTTGTTCACGTGATGACGTAAGGGAACAAACTGGGGCTTTATGAAAATTGCATGTTTACTGCTGCAATAAAGTGCCCAAGAAATTCTGCATGTTAGCACGGGACATGACAAATTAAATAATGAGAAAATGACTTTAAAACTGAAATAAGTAAATAAATAAATAAAAAGAAAATACTGAACTAAATAACCTCAACGGATCCACTTGACAATCGTACAGGATGCCGAGATAATCCTGTTTTGTAGGAAACTTCTGAAACTGAAACCCAGCGCCGAGTGTGACGCGGCCAGAAAACGTGTGAATATGTCTAAAACCAAGTGTCTGCAGTTGAGAAGGGCTGGTCGCATGAACTGAAACTTTGGTCCTGAAGCAGAAACGTCTGTGCCGCACGTCATAATTCGAATAAATTGGAGTCTTACTCATGAATTAGCCAGGGGTATCAAGTTCCTCTGCACATATCGCAAATGTTTGAAGATTATTCACACCTTTACCTATCTATATGATTTCGCTAGCAGTCAGAAAACGAATGTATAAACTAAGTATAATCTGACTAAAAGCAATGTAATATAACAAGCTCGTAATAAAGCCGGCTCCAGTGCTTCTAGCTGCCGAACATCTGGCGCGTTCCCGCTAGGCACGTAGGTAGGGGAACAACCTCCGAACATGTAGGCTACGTGGGACAAGTAAGCAATCGCGGATTGCGGCTTTGGCAACAGATTCGTTCCAGAGAAAAAGTACAATGCAAGACAATAAAGGGTGACTGTGTCATGATGATGCGAAAGCAATCCGTCCTTTGTAGAAAAGAGACCACCAGTATTACCTCTTCCATGCGGTTAGACGTCGGTTCGTCAAAGGCTAGGAGAAACAATTTGCATAAAAATCAAAGTAAAAGGACCCCACTCGACGGAATTCCTCAGATCATCACCAGCCTTGCTGGCGGATGACTAAACTTCTTGCGCTGTGATAATACAAAGTGTGGCAGCCGGAGCGATTCGTCGCCAAATACCGGTCCCCTGCCTGGTTATCCAGGCAAAGATAGCAGGTTCATCAGCAAGACATCATCATCAGTCTGTGCCTTACAGATCATTTTGGATGTAGATTCTCTGTTTTTCTTCTTCTAAGCAACCATTAACTACTTTTATCGTTGTCTTTTGAGCCGTAAAGACCAGAAAAGTAAGCGCTACGTTTCCCTGTTGAATCTATGCTATGCAGAACTGAGGCGTTGATTTTGCTAGCGGTTTCGTCTGATGGCAAACAAAATTTGTCATGAAGTGATACCTAGCTGTGTTCGGCTGTACTTACAGTAAAACTGCAAAGAATAACTTATCTGCAAACTATTCGACCTTCGGGAGAGAGCCTTTAGTAATCGGCTTTTACAAATAATCAATTTAAGCAGTATGAATGATATTTTATTACCGTCAGGTCATAACATTTACAGTCTTTGAAAAATATTATACACTACGGCCGCATTAGCTGCAAAAATGGTATTTTGGCGTATGTACGATTCACTGAATCAAGCTACGCGAGTGTTTGCGATTTCGTGGACACTAAAGTCATCCAAAGACGACAAACAGACAGTCAGTGTTTAAACAGGCCATCTGGGCTGTCATCAACGTGTGACGGAAAACACTAATAAAAGCTG